GGTGGTTGAGAAAGCGTCTCTGAGGAGGTGACATTTGAGCTGAGTTTATCACTATATCCCCTGTGGCTGGACTATAAGTATTTGCTAAGTTATGGAAACCATAGCTCCTCATCTGAGTGCCTCATAGCCTGGCTGTTAAAGAAGCTCCTGATGTGTGAACCTCACTAAGTCCATGCATTATTATTATTTTTCAGATCATGCATTATTGCCCACTCACCTTACCATGTCTCCTTATTTCTCTTGATCTGCCTTCCTGCTTTTTACTAATCAGTCACACCAGAGTGTTGTGAATTCCATATATATATATATACATGGCATATGCTGTTTTGCCTCCACTGTCCTTTCCTGATGTCTGGTATATGCTTTTCCTTTCTCTTCCCCTGGATAACTCACTCCCTTTATCTTTCAGATTTCACCTTGCGAATCACCTCCTCTGGGAAGCTTCTGGTCTGGATGAGGTGGTGCTCCTTTGTGTCCTCCTGGCACCCAGACACATCCGTCATAGTGCACGTGTTTTATAGGATTAGCAGAACTGTAGCAAGAAATGTGCACTGAATGCATATTTGTGGGCCAGGCACCCTTCTAAGAGCTTTGTGTATATTAAATCATTTAATCTTCACAGCAATTTTATGAGATAGATGTCATTTTTATCCTCATTTCATCAATAAGAAAATCGAGGCACAGAGAGGTTGTCATTTTTCTAGGTTGCTCAGCTTTTAAGTGGTGGAGCTCAGATTTTAACCCAGGAAGGCAGGCTGGCAGGCTTGGTATCCTGGGCTCTTGATAGTCCACTGCCACAATTGCCTGTGAGTTTGTCTGCACCTCCCACTGTCTGTGAGCTGTGTGAAGATGGAGCTGTCACTGCTGCTTCCACAGAACACCCTGGCATGGGCTTGGCAGGCAGTACATGAACAATCATTAACCATTTAGTAAATGAATGAATGGATGAATGAATGCATGAAATTCACCCAACTGAGCAGCCGTTTAGAGTTCCAAAATGTTGCTTTTCCTTTTACCAGTGAGGCAGCACCCCCTCCCTTCTACTCCAGCTTCCTGAGTCTTCCATGACTCCCACAAAAATGTATTACCCTGGCTGGAAGGGAGTGCATCCCTAGCCAACCAGAGCAAGAATCATGGCAATCATGGCTTGTTCCTACATTTCTGGGTTTCTGTCAAAGAAGAGTTCTGAAGAAGTGTCCTCTTCACTCTCTCAAACCAAATGAAGCAGCCAAAATGATTGGAGTGACAGCTGAGAGGGCTTGAGATGGGCAAGCAGGAGCTGTTCAGTGGGAGCTGTTCACCCAGGAAAACCCAGGTCGACTTTTTGGGGAATGAGCAGCAGGGGTGAGAAGGCTGAGAGTGGACTGGGATCTGTCTTAGCAGTGGCTAAGCCCCTGCTTCTGGCCTGACAGTGATCATTGCTTTGATTGCAGCTGAGGCAGGGATCAGCAGAGATGGCAGATCACGATGGTTCTGCCACTGGCAGTTTAACCAATGGGGCATGGAATATCTAAATTGGGGGACAGTTAATCGGTCATAATAAGGTCAAAGTCAGGAATTGGAGACCTGTGAGCCACTTGACTTTACTCTCTGCTTTGATGACAGACTAAATTTGTATTCTTGGTCAGCTGTCAGGCAATGTTTAGTCACAGAGAAATGGTGTGTTTGTGAGTATCCACGTTAGGGAAAACAATCAAGCCAAGGTATCTCTGCATTACCAATCACTGTGATGGAAGAGGTATAGGATCTGCAACAGGATAGATCTAGATAAAACTTCCCACTAGGTCATTTAACGCTTTGAGTCTGTTTCTCACTGTAAAAATGGAATAATACATCTACCTATCAGGTGATTACAATGATTTAAAACAGTGCCTCTCCCAATGCCTGTCATTACAATAACTGCTCAGGAAATATTGGTTTCCTTTTATTCTTTCCATCTACTATTTACATTTAAATATAGTGCTAAAAATAAAGTTTAATAAATATTTGTTATTGGATGAGCACAAGGAAAAAGGGGTAGGATAGTTCTACTATGTCGAAAATGTGTTTCTAATGGAAGGAGAGAAACGTTGGCTTTCTGTTCCCATGCCGTATGGATTTTGCTTCATATTCTGGTATATGTTGGTCTACCTATTGGAAATGCTGTATCATGCTTTGTTGAGCAAATTGAGTAAAAATTCTGCTTAGATGACACATTCTGAGAACCGTTTCTTATCACACATTGATTAACCATTTCTTCCTCTGTATGATTTCTGCCCTTCGTAGATACCTCACTGTAAATATGTTTACAATATGCAAGTATGCACTTTCTCCTATGTGAGTGTTATCTCTTAGAGGGCAGGGGCCAGTGGTTTAAACATCTCAGTAACTCCAGCCCCTTGTCTAGAGCCTGGCTGCCTGACACATCCCAGGCAATCAATAAATCTTTAATTCATTGAGCTTATGGGTCATTACTGGGACTTGTTTTCTGATCAGTAACTTCCATCTACATGCATACACACACACACACACACACACACACACATATAATGTATGATGGGGATAGTGGATGAGAACTTTGACTAAAACTGCCTGGCTTTGTCACTTGTGAACTGTGTAAATTTGGTTGTCATTCGTCTTTGTTTCTGTATTTATCAGAACAACAATAGTATCTGCATCTGGAGTTTTAGGGGTAAATAAGTCAATACATGTGAAATTTGTAGAAGAAAGCCTGGCCTATAATAAGTGCTCAATAAATGTTAGCAACTATTGTATGTTACAGCTGTATTTTAACAGCTCTGGCTTTACAGTCAGATACCTTGAGTTGGAGTCCTGGTTCCATCTCTCTCTGGCTTTGTGCCCTTGGCTAGGTTGACAACTTGAGTCTATTGAGTCTATTTTCTTATTTGCAAAATGGAAATACTAATGCCATCATGGGGTCTGGGGGAGGAGATAATGAGATGAGGCATGGAAAGCAATAGTATATTACCCATCAGTGTTGTTGCTATTATTATTTTATGGTGCTTTAAACTTATCAAAACAGTTATAAGTAAATGGATTTCTTGTTCTAATAACAATTCTCTGAGCTAGGATAGATGTCTTTCTGGCCATTTTACAGGTGATGATGCTGCCATAGGGACTGTGAGTGGGTAGCTTAAGTTCCTTGGTTACCAGGAGCAGGACCCACGTTTCCTGTCTCCCAGTCCCTTCTTTTTTCCACTGACCAGGTTGGTTGCTCCCTTGGAAATCAGTCCCTGAGAACTGACTTAGAAATACAGGGGAAGAGGTGGATGAAGGCATGTTGGATGCACAGTGGATCAGGTTGCAGTGTGAATGTTTCTCAGTGGCATTTCTAGATTTCCCCCATCCAAAGACTAACCAGGCCCGACTCTGTTTCACTTCCAAGATCAGATGAGATCGGGTGCGTTCAGGGTGGCATATCCGAAGACTGTCAGGGGATTTGTTCTGGAAGGGGGGTGGCATTATTGAAAACACTGCAGCTTCATCCACACATTCATCATGAAAGAGGGAAAATTAGTAAGGGTTCCACCATTCAGGCTGCGGACTGTAGTGTCATCCCTAAATTCTCATTATGAGGCCTACCAGGGCTTTCTTGAGCCCTGCAGGGCAGCTAGCAAAGGGACTGAAAAAGAAATGAGGTCCGGGGTGGGGAGGGGAGGGAAGATTTAGGCAGTTGCTCTGTAGGCTTGAAGGAAGGGAAATTATGGCTTTTTAAGTCCTTAGAAATTGGGCATTTGAGGGTATACCTTTTATTATAATGGACCCTAGAATGTTCAAAGGAAGCTTAGTGGAGATAGCTGACTTATTTCATTGGGCCACTGAGCTAGCAGAATTTTAGCTTCATCTTTGTTCCATCTTACAATTGTTCCATCTTATATATGCTGGTTGCCTAATAGATGTTGATTTGGTTGAATTAATTACAAGACCAATGAGACATTTAAAGGTGCTTTTTTTTTTTTTTTTCCAATGGAAGAATAAAGGCAGGAGCCAAACTTTAAGGAGTTAAGAAGCAACTTGATTCCCACTGCCCATCTGCCTATGTATATCCCACTACTTGATGCTGGCTAATGTCTTCCTTTTTTGTTTTTTCTAACTAATCTTCCTCCTCCTGACAGAAGAGCATGAATGTCTACCAAAGTTTAGCCTTTTGCATTACTTGTTTTTAATGTCATGAACTGAATGTTGCACAAGGATGGTTTTGGTAAAAGCCAAGGATGGCATGGCTTCCATTTTCCTTAATTCAATGGACACCCTCCAGTTGTAATCTAATAGCTCTTACCAAGCAGCAGGCCTTGCAGGGTAAAGTAGTACAGGGCCCTTAGAATCGAACCAACTGTTGCAAGGTAGCAAATCAGGCTTCAAGTAGTTTTCAGTGTCAGCTGGAAAACAGACTGACTTCTATGTGCCACTAACTAAGAAGTATTGCCAGTACTGGGGCTGAAAGATCACACATATAAAATACCTAGTTTAGTACCTGGTGAAGAACAGGTAATTTGTGAAACATCGTGGTGGCTATTGCCCCCTGAGGCCTAATCTCTAGGGCTTTCCCCTCCTGTTCCTGTCCAGGAGTCTTGGGTGTTTGCTCTAATGCATCCTTTGCAGGGGACGGAAGAGAGGATGGCTGCCCTCTGCTCTTTTTTCCCTGGAAACTCATCCTACTCTGGGTCTCAGTTTGTGTACATCTATGTGCTAAGGGTGTTGGACTAGTGTAGGGGCTTTTATTTGGAATTCACAGATAAACTGCCAAGGGGCCTATGAACTCCTTTTAAAGCATGACAAAAAATTATTCCTGTGTGTGTTCTGGGCGGCCCTGCTGACTGTATCATCTTTGATGCCCCTGAAGGCGCAAATGTTGTGTCATATCAGTTACTCGGGATCCCAAAGTTTGATATACATGCTCCTGGTGGTTCACAAAATGATTTCAGGTGGTATGTGAGTGCATGTTTGTTATATTGATAATTATGTGATTCATGTTAGGGAAAAAACCTAGCATATCACAGTTGAAATTTCATGCATATTATTTCTTTGGAAGAGGCTAAGTCTTGCTTTTAGGAAAAGGTGACTTAAAAAAAAGTTACATGAATAATAGTACAAATGTGGGTTGATTCTTAAGTTTGAGATACAATGATTGGTCCCAACTCCCGACCCAGTACAGACAGAGGAGCTGAGTCTGGAGAAGTGGAGAAAAGGCCATAAAAAAATTGGTGGTAAAAGGCAAATAACCCAGTGGCCTTCTGCAGTATCGTCATTCTCTATGACTGGCAGAAGTTTCTGACTCTCTCATGTCTCTTCCAAGAACACTGTCCCAGTCAGGCCAGAAATCTTGCCCAGAGAGTTTCCACCTTAGGCACTTTACTTGAGATGCCTAAGGAGAGGCTTTCCTTGCAGGAAAAACGAGCAATACTGAGAAAGTCTCGTCTTTTTTCCCATGCTCCCTCAATTCTGAGATGTACTTTTTCACATTTTAATGTTCCTGAAATTGGGCTGCATCTTACAAAACTGTTTTTACCTAAGGTGACAGTTATTTCCTTGCCAAAAAGCTATTAGTAAATGGATAGTAGCTTAGAATTGAGACAATATGATTCTTTCACTTTTTTTTCCTCCTCCAAAGCAAATTACACTTGAAAGTCAGGACTTGTAATACATCTGTAAACTGAAAGAAAATTTCCCTTTCAATGAAAAACTCTCATCTCAAACCATTTACCCTGCACTAAATGGAAGTTAGGAGAAATGAGTCATCAAGGCAGATGTAGAGATACTAACCCAGACCCAGCTTTCTGGACTCCACCCATCTACTCTCCTCTCTAAGTTTATAAATCCTTTGCATGTATTTAGTGCCTTTCTCAGGGGTATGCCACATAGAACCTTCTGGAAATGGCTTTCTAGAAGTTATAAATCTGGATCCTCAACTGGGGAAAAGGATGAACCATCTTCCACATCTTCAAGTGGACTTCATTCACTTCATGTCACAGCTGCTTGATTTCTCCACAGTTCATTTCTATAGAAGACAGCCTTCTGGTCTGTTTTTCCAGATGGCGAGCTTGGGGTGAGTTAGAAGTGCCTGACTGGACTTTACAAATCAGCATTTTTACTGGCTATTTTTGTTCTAGGTACAATGGAGGTTGATGGATTGTTACTTTTGGTTACCAAAACCAGGAGGAGGGGAGGGAGCCGCTTAGGAGAAACACCCAAAAAGAACAGACCAGCCTTTCTCAGGGACTCAGGGGTGGTGGCACTGCTTCCAACTGCTTCATTTAGAATACCAGATAATAAGCAACGAGGACTCGGCCTTTAGAAGTCAATGGAATAAATAAGCTGGAAAAGGTTGAAGAGAAAAAAGCCAAGGAACATGTAAGTAGAGGATTATATGGAGCCATTTAAGAGCACAAAAAGCAAGAGTAACAAGGCAGCAGATGGAATTTGGCCTCGCCTGGCCCTGCCAAGCTCACTCTGGGAAGCACTGTGTCGAAAGTGCTCTCTTTCTGTCCCCTGAAGCATTCAAGTTTCCTAGCCAAATTCTCAGGCTGTTTCTATGGAGTTTACAAAAAAAGAGCATAGCAGGGTTGATGTGCCCTTTCCTCGTCATTCTGCATCCTCTTCTCAGCTTCATGCAATAAATCTCTGGCTTAAATGAAATTGTTCAAAGGAAAATGGAAAATAGAAAAAAAAAATGGTGGAGGGGCAGGAGATACTGACTAGTTCTGGTTTTTCACAAAACAAGAAGAATTTGTCTAAGAGTAAACGGTGTTTATTTTTTGTTGTTTTTTTTTTCAATCAAATGGAATTGCTTAATTAAAAAAAACTTATCTCTTTTCTCCTTAAATACTACAGACAACCTCATTTTATCGCAGCAGACACCTAGGAACAAAACACTGGACCCACCAGAGAAAACTGGGCAATAAAAGCATCAGAAGTTCAAGTCAACTATGGAAGAATTACTGTTAGCTGGCAGCTTTCAATTCTAAACCGAAGTGTCCCAAACCTATTGGGTTTGACAAAAGTTTCTTAGAACTGGGGAGCTGGGAATGTTGGACTCCTTTTAATTCTATTCCAATCATTTCCTGCATAGGGAAATTAAAGTCAATGCATCAAATGAAGACCCAAAGAAACATTTAAAAACTTGTTTGACTAGTATTCAGTATGTGAGATTATTAAGTAATAACTTGTCCACCTAGTTAACCTTGTCCTGGAATATATATAGGTTATTTGTAGCCGCCACTGCTATAATATTTTCTGAAGGATGCCAAGCTGTATGCAAGATCTTTTTGCTAAAGTCCAGACTGTCGACACTGATCTCGTCTTTTCTCCGCTTGCCCCCCACACACACTTTTCTGGGTTTGAGGATAGCCCGGGGCTTGCTGTTTTCCCTCGAAGCCTCAAGGGTCACATCACGCTTGGTGTTTCTGTCGAACATCCTAAAGAAGTTGTTGTAGGAGCCCGTCATGATGACACTGCAAGATAGAGGGGAAAGGGAGTGACCGAATGTTATGGAGAAAGGCAATGACATATCTTCATTGTGTCGTCTTTCTAGAGCAAATGATACAATGTTAAGGGCAGCTTATGACACCATAGGTTTTACTAAAAACAAAAATCAAAAAGTGAGAACAGGCTCTGCAGTGTGATTGTTGGCTTTTTTTTTTTTTGAATCACTGAACTCAGGGAGCTTTTTGGCTGGGTTTGGAAATGAGGGATGGTGAGAACTCTCCTTGTAATTTGCTTTTGCTCGGTAGATTCCTTTTGGTTCTTTGGCTCAGTAAAGGTGTCCAGTGGTTTTAATGATCCCAGTCCTACCTACCTCCCGTCAGGAATGTGAGACTAGAATGAGGTTTGCCGAAGTAGACACACTTTTGAAAACAATAAGCAGTTGTATGTGTTTAAGGCCTGGCCACTGTCAAGGGGGCTCCTGGACGTCTGACCTCTAAGGCTTTATGGCATCAGTGTGGTTGGGGGAGAGATGCGGGTGGCATCGTGCATGAACCCGGGGCGTGTCATTTCCCTTACCGAGAACTAGCTCTGAATTCGGCCTTTTTAGAAAACTTATCTACAAAATGGATGTCATCATGGTCTTATCTGGGAAACAAGTAAGAAAATTCAAATTTTAAAAGAATCTGGGATGGAGAAATAAAAAGATTTTATATGGTTTTTATTTCCACATTTAATGGACAGATGGCTTCCACATTTTTACAAGAGTTATCCCCTCTTAGGCATAGCTGCAATTCATCAGGAGAGTGGCGAACACCCAATGTCTTCCAGAGGCAAGGTACTCAATGTTTAATGGTGACATTCAGACATGGTGACAAGCTGAGGTGGGGAGAGATTCCTTGGGCCAGGGCATCTGCAAGTACCCCAAGTGCCATCACACAGCAGTTCCCCTGGAGGGGCTGGCTCCCACTCACTTCTGGGTGGAGCTCTGACTGGCTCCTTAAGATGGGAGAGCAGGAACTCTCATCTGTTTCTCAAATGATTTGGGATGTGTAGAGAGGTGAAGGAAAAAGCTGACAAGATTGGGCCACAGCAAGGAGGATGTGTTTTTGGGCATGTTGTCAGCTGTATCAGGTAAATTAAGCAAAGGTTAGATTTTGTTACTCTGGCCCATCAAACTGATGCTGTGAACTGTGTCTGTGTCCTTGAGTGGACTGTTATTACCTTGTCAGGCAGGGCACTGAGTGCTTTGCCTCCATGATCTCGTTTCAACTTCTATTATCCCATAAAAGGGTTTTACAGAGAAGTAAGTAATTTGCTCAGTGTCACATTGCTAGTAGGTAGTAAAGTCCACCCTTAAACCCACATATGGTTGACTCTGGGGCATAAGTATTCAGCCGTTGGCCTCACTGCTTCCTGTGCTTTGACGTTCGCTTCCCTCCCATGACCCGACTCATTTTTAAACAAGTAAGAGATATTATTTAAAAAAAAAAAAAGACTATCAACCTTATTTGAAAGAGAAATTAAATTTCCCAGTTGTGATGTCATAGAAAGAGTGTTGATCTTAGGATTCAAACTCTACACTTGTTACTTTTGTCTCTACTACTTACTACTTTATGAGGTTGGGCAGATTACTTTATCTTGCTAAGCCTCAGTTTCCTTAACTGTAAAATGAGAATGATGGAAACAATCTTGTTAGACTGTGGTTGGGATTAAATAAAATGATGTGTATGAATGTGTTTGGTATATAGTAGGTGCCTAATAAGTGTGGTTTTTGAATCAAGGCTAAGATAGAGGAAAAATCTGAGCAATAATAACAGATATGTAAATAATAATATATGAATAAATCAATACCTATAAATAAAGAATAAAATGAGAGGGCTGGCTTCTTTTCCTCGTGGGGGATTTTGTTCATATGTCACAGTTGCTTTGCTCTCTGTCCTATACCAACTGGTCAGTGTGACTTGGGTCCTTTGCCATGTGGGGACTCCTTCCAAGCCTGCTAAGGAGGGGATTCATTTTGGATCAGTGGCAAAGAAAGCCAAGAAACAGGTTGAGTGTGAGAGAGATGGTTCGTATTCACTGAAAGCTTGAATGTCTGAATGTCCTGCCATAATAGAATTTCTATGCTTTCAAACACTATAATTGGTGCCACCTTCATCAAGGAATGAAATCAACCCCTGGTAGCTTGCACTTAGTTCTCATGGAAGGCAAAGAATCGTTTGTATCTGTCAAACTAAAAGTGAACTATTGGGAGGTATTATGAAGTACTGTTCAAATCAAAGGCCTTAAAATAGTAATAAATCACTTTGAGGGAATGTGATAAATGAGGTCGACTAGAATTCAGTTAATGAACCACCAGGGCCATTGGCCAGGTCTCCACTAGCAGCTTCAAGGGATAATTTTTGATCTGGAAAGCCCACTTGGCAGTAATCTGAACTGTTCAGGATGGAATTTGCTGGTAGATAAGTGATCTTCATTTAGGCATGTTGACCTAGTGCTGGAGGTGTCTTGTGTGAAAAAGATAGGACTTTCTCATTAACATTAAGGTGTTATCTGTGCCAGTTCAGAAACAGGATTCAAAGGCCTTACTACATCCTTCTCTTCTTTCCAGGCCTGACTTCAAGGGTCATTAGGGGCCCACATTATGCATTTCAGCCAGGTTTTGGAGCCCAATTTTGACCTCCCTTTGGCTATACTCTACTTAGGATAAATTGCCCAAGCCTCTTCAAGATAACCTTTGGAAGGTTCTTCAGCCACAGAGCCTTTCTTACCTGTCTGATCCATTCCACACACACTCAAATTTATCAAAAATGCAATCATTTTCATAGAGGGAACACAGCTTGCTGCGGAGGTAGTCATGAACCTGGAAAGGAAACATATTGAGAAAGTCAGTTATTATTTTAAACAGTAATTATTTCTGCAAACACCTCCTCTTCTGATGTAAGCTGTTAAATCTTTCATTGTACATGCTCCTTGAATCAGATGGCCCTGGATCTGAACCTAGGCTTGGCCGTTTCTAGCTGTAGGACATTAGGATGGGTTGATGAGCTTCTCATGTAGCTGATATGGATTAATCAAGCTTGCTTGTATAGACAGTGGCATCCAGTAAGACTAAATAAGAGGTAGATTCTCATTTTCTAAGCTGATTTGCTCAAAGGCATTAGAGGTCACCATTCATCCAGTCTTTTATTCAAGAAATATTTACTGAATACCTGCTATGCATTTGAGATGCAGCAGTGAGCCAAATATCCTTGTGGTGCTTTCCACCCAGTGTTAGGTGAGAGACTATATAACCAAGTAAATAAATAAGACATTTAGATGGTGATAAAATCATAGAACAAAAGTGTATGGAAAAAGAGGCTGGGAAATCTTGTTGGGGGAGTATTATTTTATACAGGGCAAGTAGTCAGGGCTTCACTGGATGAGGCAGCATTGGAGCAGAAGCCTGCAGGAGATGAATGAGCCACAGTGATGTCTGGGTTTGGGGTGAGGGGAAGGCTCTCCAAGCATAGGAAACAGAAAACACAAAGGCCTAGAGGCAGGAATCCTGGAGGGAGTGTGGTGGGGGAGTGGTGAGTAAGCAGCTGAGGGAGAGGATGATCAGTTTACATAGGCCCTTTATTCTGAGGAGGAAGAGACCTCACAGAAAGGATTGCTGAATCTGCTGTGTTGCAATGGATCCTAAAGGTACAAAGACAAAGGCAGGGAGACCAGTTATAACCTAAGTGATAGATGTTGGCTTGGACAACGGCATGAGCAGTGATGGAGACTGGTCAGATTCTCCTTTTGTTTAGAGAAAGAGCAGATAGGACTTGGGTCAACTGTGAGGTGTGGAGAGAAAAACAGGAGTCAAAGATGATTCCCTGATCTTTCTCCTGAGCAAGTGGAAGGAAGCGGGTACCATGTTCACTTTTGGGTACAATGGTTTAGAGATGTCTACATGTGGAACTGTCAAGTAGACTCTGAGGTAAAAGGTGCCGTCCTGGAGTATGTGGCAATTTCCTGGTTTCTCTTAACCATGCTGCTGCTTTCACTGGAAATCAACTGAGAGTGAGCAGGAGAGAGAAATGGTTGGCAAACAGTGTCAGATTTCTGGAAGGCACCAGGGGACACTTGATGTTATTGGACATGTATGTCAAATAAGGCTGATCAAGCATAGTTGAATCTTTTTCTCCATCTACATTCAGCAACTCAGATGTAGATGCCAAATAGATGAGTAAGGTTCAGAGAATATTAGCATGGGTTCAGTGTTTCGAAGGTAATCCTTCCTGAACACACGAGCACAGAGTGGCAATAATAACGGGCATACCCAAAATGCTGGCTTGTCATTATTAGCCAGGTGCTTTATCTGTCAAAACCTCGTTTCATCTCTAAAGCCATCTTATGATGCAGGTCCTTTCATTCTCTTTACTCTAATGGAACATGAAGCACAGAGACATGACATCATTTGTCCAAGATCATGCAGAAAAGAAAGTGACAGAAGAGGAGGGAACTGAGCCCCAGTATCAGGCTCTAGAGTGCACACGCTGAGCTGCACTAGCAACCTGCCTCCAGCTTGCTCTGGTGGGTCCTCAGTCCTTGACAGCAGCTGTGATAATGAACTCAAGTGAGGTTGAGAGAGGAGATAGAACTAGGTGAAAGCAGAGGGAGGCTACCAAGGGTATTGGTGTTTAACTTTAAGTTAAGAGTGATGATTCAATCTCTTTTCTCCTGCAACTGTGGCTCTTTCTCTTCCTTTGACTCCAACAGTTCTGCTGGACGCTGAGCTTCAGGCTCAGTTGTGTGCTTAGTCTTGGGCAAAGGAATGAGGTCAGGCTCATCCTATGTTCCATTAGATGTTTTGGGTATTTGAAAAGCTCTGAGTTATTTGGACAGAGGAAGTTATTTCTAACTCTGCAAATTAATTTTCCCCCACCTTTACTCTCTCACTCCCAAACAGTTCCAGGCCTTGTCAGGGTAACAGCTTCAGTGCTTTGGTGACAAGGGAATACCCCTACAGCAGTGCTGTTGGCATTGTTAGGTGCATTTGGGGGCTGCAAGGGTGAGGCTATGTCCTGCCCTAACAGAGGCATCTCTGCTATAAACTAACTCACTCACCTTCCCTAGGGAGTGCAGCAGTAAAGGTTTATAAACCTGGCAGTGGCAAGATTTTTTAAGGTCTAGTTCCATCTGCCCGCTTTGTGATGAACCCTTCCTCATATGTCACCATTCACTTTTGGCATTTTGTCTTATTACTCACCTGCGGTGTTTCTGTAAGTGTCAAAATGTGTGCTTTGGAAGTCACGCCCATTAGCAGGAATGACATTGCTGAGAACTCTGTAAATAATTCTTGAAAGATAGAAGTTGGGATAGACTCAAGGGAAACCCTAGTCTGAACCATTATTTCTCCTCCACCACACCTAAGGTCTGGGTAGCTCCTGCCTGCCTCCAGTTGACAACATTTAAAGAAGAAGAATGTCTACTGTGATTTTGCTGCATAGAAAGAAGTCTTCTTAGGCAAACCAGAGGGACTTTTTTCTACCAGAGGAAAGAATAAGGTAAGATGTACACATGAGCAACCTCTAGAGTATGGAGCAAGAGAGAATTTAAACCTCATCCTATTTAATGTTCTTTCTTCAAGTTCCTAATATGACTTTTCTATGATCCTATTAATTTGTGCATGGGATTTTTGACACTAGACTGAGTGTCCCAATATAGTGTTTCTCATTATTTGTGGGAGTCTAGTGTCATATAGTTAGTGGACTGCTGTGAGGCAAACAAAGAGCCAACTCTGTCGGTCCATTCTTATATTTTAAGTGTTGACAAACTTTTTCTCCAAAAGGCTGGATAGTAAATATTTTAAGCGTTGTGGGCCGTATGGTCTCAGTGACAGCTACTCAACCCTGCCATTGCACATGGAAGCAGCCATAGAACATATGTAAGTGACTGTACATGGCTGTGTCTTAATAAAATTTACCTACAAAGACAAATAGGGGGCTGGTTTGGAACACAAGTTGCAGTCTGCCAGCCCTTGTTCTATGGGAAAACTTGAAAATAGCTAATCATACTTAAGTCTGCAGCCTTTTATTCATGGAAACATGATTGAGATCTGTGAATGCATGTATGAAAACGTATAGTAGCATTACCTGTCTCCTTGCCCAGGGCAGGCATTATTGACTGATCACTAAATTGTTTTCCACTGGACATCACAACCTATCATGGTGTTCTGGAGGCTCACTGAATCAGAGTTTGTTTACCATCTTTAAATTACTTCATGTAAAAGTTAGATGGCTGTGCTCTAAAACTAGCTTTGTCCTAAATCTACTCTTCCTAGTTAAGGCTCCCCAGCAGCCACACTCAGGTCCTAGTTCCCACTGCTCTTTCTTTTGCATTAAGGATTCGAATACTATAAGGTTTGTCTTATGCAGCTGGAAGAGGACACTGTGGTGACTCTAGTCCTGGACTAAAGATGAAGGCTGCAAATGAAAGCTTGGGGGTAAGTGAGGTGGAGCCAAGCACTGAAGTCAAGGTAGGATTCAGGAGACAGGAACACTAAATAATAGGGAGTATGATGGACCACAGGGGAAACAAAGCTGTCTCTACTACATATATGGCTGTGAATTCTGGCTCCCAAACCTTTCTCTAGCACCTGCTGAAACAGAGTCATTAAAGTCTTCAACCTCCTCTCTGAACCTTTCCTTCTTCCTCTGACTGGAATTTGGATCTCCTCTGAAGACACTCAAGTGGTAGCTAGAGTTTTGCTCTCACTCTCCACATGCCAATGTTGGGTAGGTAGGCTCCTTGTTGATCCAGACAACTATTCCTATTTAAAGTCCTTAACTCCTTTGAAGTCATGCCATCAAACTAAGCTTCCTGCTACCTGTCCTTCTTTCAGCCATCAAAAGTTCTGAGTCCCTAATCCTTATTTCTTGAAGCAAGTTTGCATCTCTGTCTCTCTTCCATTACTATTCCTGTCACTATTTTTAGTTATTCGAGCACTCTAGTCTCTCTCTTACTCAGTCTCATCATATTCAATGTGTTTTGTCCTTTGCTTCCCTGGTCATATTATGAACCTTGTCATTGCTATCCCTGTACCTGTCATTGCTATCCCTGTTGCTGTTGTTACCTCCTGTCTTTTTAGTTCACTCCTTCTAGTATCTTGATTCTATCAATTCTTAAAATTTATTATTTCCCCTTTTGCCCACCTTTGATTCAGCAGTACATCATTACAATCAATCCTTTAGCATATGTATTCAACAAGCTTGCCTTTCTTGCTCTCTCTTTCCATTGTACTCATTTGGCACAACTCCATCACTGGTTAAATCTTACTTTCTACCCTTTCTTTACCTGTATCAAGCAGGTGAATGTGGCTGGGAAGAAACATGTAATCATACAGGTTAATCTCCCTTTAAATCAATTATATAAATTTCAAGTGGATCCCTGAGCAACCCCACCACCCTTCAACATTTCTCTTTCTTAGATGAGTACTTTACCCCTTTTCTTCCTTCCCATTCAGCTAATGACCTTACTACTTATTTTATTAAAGAAAACACCTACATGTTCTCATCACAAAATTCACAAACGTACTTCATCTATATATGAAAACTGCTCTCATTCCTTTGACAGATGAATTATCTATGCACCTTGTCTACAGCCAATTCTGTAATGGACTGCATCCCCCACTGGCTTGCCTCAAGGGCTTTGTTCTTTCAGTGGTCTCTCTCTCTAATGGTCTCTCTCTCTAGTGGCTTATTCCTATCAGCAGAAAACATGCTGTAATAACTTCCTTCAGCCAGAATCCCTTTTCAGCTACCCTTCCATTTCTCTGCTCTCCTTCAGAGTAAACTTACTGAAACAGTTGTCTGTCCTCATTATGTTCCCATCTTCAGTTTCTTAAACTCACTCCAATTGGACATTTATTCGCACTGCTCTACTACTGTTCCTCTGTCATTCAGGTTACTGATAATCTCCACTTACTAAATCCAAGTTCGTAGTCTTCTGTACTTGATTCAGCAAAGCATTTGGCAGTCGATGACTTCCTTTTCCTTAAGACATTTTCTCCACTTGGCTTCCTAGTCACTCCTCTCATCTCACTGGCTAGTTTCCCCAAATCTCTCTTGCCAAATCCTCTTCCTATTCTCAACTAGGTCTTATTTTCTGACCTCTTCTTTAATTACACTAATTGCCTAGAAGATCTCATTCAGTCCTATGGCTTTAAATACCCTCTACATACTCGTGAGTGTCAGGTTTATATCTTGAAGCTAAATATATCCAGACTCACACTGAGCTGTCTACTTGCTGTGTCTGTTTGGATGTTAAACTGGTTTAACAGAGCCAAAACCAAACTCTTGATTTTCTCATCTAAATAAATTGGCAATTCTACTTTTCTAATTGTTCAGGACAAAAATTTTGGAGTAATCCTTGGTGCTTCTTTCTTTTCCTGTTACATCCCACATCAAATTCGTCCTCAAACCCTATTGCTTTTACCTTGGAAATATATGAAGAATCTGGCTACCTTCATTGCTAATACACTCATCTAAGCTACTATTTCCCCTTGCCAGAATGTTATAACTATTCTCCTGTCTCTTCCAATGTCCTTCCCACAGTTTCTTCTCCCTAGCGCAACCAGAATATTCATTTAAAAATGCCAGTGATGAAAATGATCTCGAATTAGATAGTGGTGGTTTCATTAAATTGTGTGCTTTGAAAGGCCGATTATTATGATATGTACATTATATCTCAAGGAAAAAAGTCAAATCCTTCTGTATAGAATCCCCCCACTTCTTTTTATCTAACCCCAAATAGCTTAAAATAGGGTTAGTTTATCCCCACCCCACTTGATCTTTGCTTTCATTATATTCTTGCCTGGATTTTGCTTCTTTAAGTCCTCTCTACTTCAAAGTCTGGTCTTCCTCTTTCAACACCACCACCCTAAAAAATGCCTTTCCCTTTGTTTCCTTGCATTTACACCATCTACCTAACACTTAAGTTCAAAACTTCCAGTCTTTTTGATTCCTCTCCCTGTACATTTGATCAGTAAGCAAACCTCACTGACTCTTCATCTTACCCATCCTTCCATCTGCACTCTACCATTACCAGACCAAATTGCCATCATCTCCTCTTATCTAAATTGTCTGTTTGGCAAACTGCAAAGTGAAACACACTGTAAAACTAAAACTAAAACTCACAATGTCATTTCCTGGTGTAAAACTTTAATGGTCCTCCATTGTACCCAGTCCACAGGCAAAACAGCCTACTGTACATTACCAGAGCCTAGTGATTGGCCTCTTACCTCTATCTCCAGGCTCATCTTTCTGCCTTTGTGATTCATATTCAAGGTATAAGCACCCTGAGCACACCTCATTTCTCTTGACACCAGGCCTTTGAACACACTATGTTTTTAATTATTATACTTTAAGTTCTGAGATACATGTGCAGAACATGCAGGTTTGTTATGCGTGTGCCATGGTGGTTTGCTGCACCCAACAACCCGTCATCTACATTAGGTATTTCTCTTAATGCTATCCCTCCCCTCGCTCCCCACCCCCTGACAGGCCCCAGTGTATGATGTTCCCCTCCCTGCGTCCATGTGAACACATTATTTTAAGAGCATGCATTTCCTGACTAGTTCATGGCAGTTAAGACTCAGTTTAAGGGTCACTTCTTTGGGAAAACCTTTCTCACCTGGCTGGACCATCTCTTGCAGAGATGCACACTCAATTCCTTGTTCATCATCTGACTTTTCTGCCACATGGTAAGCTGCATGAGAGCAGGACCATTTGTTTACCTCTATAGTATCCATTCCACATGAAGTGCTCAGTCCATATCAATTACATTGAATTCTAGCCTCTCCACATGCACCTTTATCTTAATTATAGCCTGTACCATTTTACTGAATGTATCACCATGCACTGCCCTCCATTTTTCTGCATTGTAAACCTTTGGAAGCAGGGGTTGACTTAAAAACTCATGAAGGGAATGTTCCATATACCTATGGGTGCCTGGGGTTCTATACCTGGTAAGTCTCGATGGGGCGGTTTTCCATGTTGAGATCCCAGACTTTAACGGTCAAATAGTCCCTGGTCATGATATACCTCCCACTGTGGCTGAACTTCACATCCGAAATTGAAGAGATAATTTCAGAGAAAAATGATCTGTTGCTTGGGTCTTCCGGCTCTTCAAAAACTGCAGAACAAAAGCAAAACAAGACAAATTTAGCAATCCTTATCAACTGACTCTAACATGTTTGGACTGGCTAGGAAGCTAACAGTGTAACTGAGAGTCTTCCTTAAGTAGGGCTGGTGTTTGCAGAATGTAAGTTGCTAATAGAGAACTGTCATCTCTCTGGTAGCGGAAAAAGCTGTCATTAGTTTCTGGATTTTAATTCTCATGGAAGGACTGGCATGGGACCTGTCCCGTTCGTAGATCTGGCACTGACAGATCTATGCATCTAACTCTTTTTCTGTTTCCCTTGGTATCTGGGTGTCACTGCATAAAACCTGGAGTCATCTTAGATACTTAAAAAAAATTTTTTTATAGCTTTTAGTGAGATAAAATCCACATACCACAAACTGTAAAGTGTAGAGTTCAGTGGTTTTCAGTATAATCACAAAATCATCGCTATAATCTAAATTTAGACTATGTTCTTTACCTCCCCCCAAAAACTCCATATGCATTAGCAGTTACTTTCCATTGCCTGCTCCTGTAGTCCTAGGTAAACACCAATCTGCTTTCTGATTCTCATTCTGGAAATTTCGCACAAATGGATTTGTAGAATATATGGTCATTTGGGACTGACTGGCTCATTTTACTTGGCATAAAATTTTTAAGGTTCATCCATGTCGTAGCATGTATCAGTTCTTCGTTCTTCCTATGGCCGAATAGTATTCCATTGTATGAATATACCACATTTTGTTTATCCATTTATCAGTTGATGAGCATTTGAGTTGTTTCCACTTTTTAGCTGCTAGGAATAACAGTGCTATGATTATTCATATACAAGTTTTTGTCTGGCCTTATGTTTTCATCTCTCTTGTTGGCTCATGGTGTTTAACAGTGGGACTTTGGCCAGGTGTGGTAGCTCATGCCTATATTCAGCACTTTGGGAGGCCTAGGCAGGAAGATCACTTAAACCCAAGATTTCAAGACCAGCCTGGATAATATAGGAAGACCCCATTGCTATAAACGAGTCAGGCATGGTAGGGCATGCCTGTGGTCCCAGCTACTTGGGTGGATGAGGCAAGAAGGATTGCTTGAATCAAGGACGCTGCAGTAAGCTACTATTGGGCCACTGCACTCTAGCCTGGGTAACAGATCGAGATCCTGTCTTCACAAAAGAAAGAAAGAAAAAAGGTGGTGCTTTCTTGCTGGACTGCCTTGGGTCTAAGGTCAGCCTGTCATTTACTTGTTGTGTGACCTTAGGCAAAATACTTCTCTGTGCCTTAGGTCTCCTTGTGTGTAAACTGTAGCTGTGATGTCTTTTTAAAATTAACAATATTTCCAAATTGGTATAAATTTAATGGGTACAAATGTGGTTTCATTACACGGATATATTGCATAGTGGTGAAGTCTTGGCTTCTAGTGTAACCATTAGCCGAATAGTGTACATTGAACCCACAATGTCTTCTGTGTGAATTGTCTATTTGCTCTGATATCCAGCCTCTTATTATCTCTCTCAATAGCTTCAGCTGATTTCCACTTACAGGAAGAAGGCATGGCTTCTCAGGATATTATCAGAGCCCATCATAAACTGTCTCTAATTCTTCTTTCTACCTCGATTTTAAGTTGGATGTATAGAGTATGTCTCCATGTTTCCCACTTCTATTCATTGCCTGATTCCTTCTTCATTGATCCAAATACTCTTTGATTCATATACCTCATCTACTACATATTATTTCACCCCAAATGATCTTTTCTTTTCTCTGAAGCCTTATCACACTTGGTCTGCCCATTTATTTAGTATTTGCTCAGGTACTCTCTTACAATGAAACTATCATTTTTCACATTATTATTTTAACAATTCATGAGTTTGTTTTATCTCTTCAACTAGGACATAAGCTTCTTGAGAACAGGATTTTGGTCTTATCTTCATACTCAGAGTCTTGCTCACAAATGTTCAATGAATATTTGTTGCTTCACTGGAGCCAAAGCCAGATAAATTAACAGATTATTTGCCTTCTGGGTGCTTAGCATGTATAGTATTAAGTTGAAACGTATGCAGTTGCTGACATTCAATTATTTTTGACCTACAAAGATGGCAATTGTGTATGGTTAAACCCAACAAGGGTTTATATCACAATTTCAGGCTGAAACAAACACTGGCCTGCAGGTTGCTGAGTTAACTCATCCTCCAAGACTACTACTTTCCTGCCTGGTCAATGCACTGACATAGTCAGTAATGAATTCTGTATAAAGAGCCCAAGTATACAATAAGTTACATTTCAAACCTTGCTGAATTAAACTGTGAACTAAGCCAAAATGTTAATTTTCACAGAACGATTGAAGAGAATAACAACAAAAACCCTGATCAATCGAATTGAAATTGCAAATTAAAAAAAAATCATTGAAACAGAAAAATATGGCTCATTACAGCCTCTGACCCAATGTCTTAGTCTGTGCCCTCATCTTTTGGGCTTCAGCTGAGTATTAGTGAAGGCCCCAGGATTCTGATTGGTATCTTCATAGTTGAGAACTAGATGGGAAGAAAATTTTCACATTAGTTTCCACTAACAGCCATCTCATTAGTACTGGGGGCTTGGAAATTCCAAGTAAAACACCTGACCCAGAGGCAGTAAAGTGGATGGGCTTAGCAAATTGTGCTCTGGAGTCATCAATTCCTGCCTCTGTCAGTTACTAGCTGTGATCATTTTATTTACTACTCCAGCTTTAGTTTTCCCAGCTGCAAAATGAGGAGCCACATTGCTTGGCATATAAGCTTGGTACATAGTAGGTCCTCAATACATGCCATCACTATTTTCATTTTCAGCATGCACTGCTTCTGTGCTGGCCAGTCATATCTTATTCATGAAGACTCTTGAGAGTTTGGTACCGAGGAGTACAGAACCTGTGGACTATTTAAAAGACATAAAGAATGTTTACATTTTCTCTTCTTTAAACTCAAATCTATTTTAAAATGTTTAAATTGACAACAAAATTGTATATATTTATGGTGCCTTTTAATGTTATACACAGGAATCTGTTTCCCAAATACTTGGCATGTTGGGAGGCCAGTGTAGCAACACTGTAAAGCCTCAAAATGACACCTTCACAAGATGGATGTGAAATGAAAGATGACAATTCTTCAATCAACCTACCACTATTTATTTGTGGAGTGCCGGCTTTAGGTAGCACACAGGGGGCAAGGTACAGATAATATACTGGCAGAGCACGACACATCTATGTATATTCAAGTTTTAATAGCAACTCCAGGAATTATTTTCATTCCATGGGTAATAGCATTTAATAGTATTAATAATTACTGTTGATGGGAAGCTTATAATACTGCAGACCCTGTGCTTTACATGTTTTACTTCATTTAGTTGTTAAAACAGCCTATAAAGTAGGAATTATGATTCCTCATTTTATATATGTGGATAACTAAGGCACAGAGAGGTTTTGTAACTAGTCCAGGGACACACAAAGGTAGAGCTGCATTTTGAACTCAGGTCAGTCTGACTTCAAAATCTTTGTTCTTAATCAGGATGCCATGTACGAGACCTTGCTGAGCATTCATTTATAAGTTAAGTGTCTTGTACGCACAGGCACACACACATGCACAATACAGTATATTAGCTAGAGTCCACAAATAAAATACTTTTTATGTGTGGGATGGATACGTGCCAGGCCCTGTACCAAATGCTAAAGACACAATAATGAACAAGACAGATCCAGCACTACTCTTAGTGAGCTCACAGGATAGAGGAGGGGATACATGTTTAGCAATCACACAAATGTGGTTACAGTTGTGAATAAGTGAGATTTTACTGTGTTATCAGAGGGAAATCATGGTGCTATGGAACTGACTAGTGGAAGGTAAATGGAACACCAGTGTGCATTCCATAAAATTTACTTCTCATGCACCCTCCAATATCAGAGATATGCAAAATTTGTTGAACATGTAGTACAACAGTATCTGGTGCCTGAGTGATAGAACTTGAGACAAATCAACACTAGCATTTCTCCCGGAGACCCTTGGCTTGGCATGGCACTAGAGAATCTGCTGACCTGCAAGGTTTCCAATTAGCTGTCAGAAAATAGAGACATTGAGAGGAGAGGGAAGAGAACTAAGGGGGAGACAAGAAGAGCTTTGCTCCCTTTGTGAGGAAGCAGTCTTGGTGAGAATCCTGATAGCCCAGTCCTAGCCACTGGGGGTATGTCAGGTTCACCAACAGAAGCATATGTCTTGGAGACCCCAATAGTAACAGTAACAACAATAATGACATTTGCTACCACTTCTTGGTCCTCAAGCTTTGCATACATTATTGCATTTAATGCTCACACTTCTAAGGAAGGTACTATACTCTTCTCATTTGTAGATAAGGAGACAGACCAGGAGGAAAGGTTCAGTAAGTCACCCAGGATCATGCAGCTAGGCAGTGGCAGAGTTGGGCTCTTGACTCTGCCCATCTGTCACACCACCTCCACAACTGGGCCTTGCCTTGCTTTGTCAATATTGTTTCCCTGTTCAAACAAGTCAAACCAGGATTCCTCACATTCTAGATATACCTTGTATATTCCCACTTTTGTGCCTCTGCTGCTCCTCACCTCTTCCTGTGCCCATCCAGGTACACTGGAAAGAACATCAGACTCAGGGATGCTGGGCTGGAATCCAGGCTGGGCACAAGTCCAGGCTGGCTTTTGATAATACCTATTATCTATTGAGCTTTTGTGCTGTGTGCTCTACATGTATTAACTCACTCACTATTCATAGGTATTAGTACTTTCTCTTTTCCACAAATTAGCCTAATCAGTCAACTCAGGCACAACTCACAGCTAGTAGGAACAGAGCCAGAATTTGAACTCAGTATACTTCCAGCTTATGTTCTTAACCTCTGTCCTACTCTCTCATCTGCATGGCTTTCAGCACTGTCAGCTCTCTGGGCGTTTCCTTCTCCGTAATAGGAAGGAGCTCTTATATTCTAAAATCTATGAAATTTCACTGGCTTTTCAATTTCCCTTTCCTAATC